CTCATCGTCCTCCTGCCCCGATCAACCTGAGCTAATATGTTGTCTTTAACGCAGCGACAGGTATCATTACAATCCGTCGATCGACACTCCTTCCAACCAATTTTTCCCCAGAAACAGAATGTCAACTCACAAAAATACAGTCAAATCAATAGACTGCAGTGTATAGCGTAGGTCAAACCAAGATCTCTCAAAAGCACACTTACTAAACGGAAAACAAGTAATGTAACCACCGATAATCACACCAATGAAGTGTGATATGGCAAAGGCCCAGGTTTCCTTGAAGTTCACTAAGGAGAGTAATTGGATTTGTCTAATCTTTATAGAGCGTAAATTTCCAATATTGTCTATTGGTTGTGCCGAAATAATAATTACTACTTACAAATCATATAAGTAACCCCAACCAGGCGAATCAAACATCAGAATTTGGATGAAATATAAAAAGGTGACGATTGCAGTTCTGCTGCTCCGGGCAACATACTTGTTCGTTGATTCTTATTATGATTTGTAAATGATAGAGTATAAACAAATCACTCTAAGTATGCTAAAATTAACAGAAAGATGGCAATATTTTGAAGGAAGTCATGAAGTAGTCTACCTAGAAAAACCATGTATAACTGTTTTGGAGAGGGAACAATGAAGGAAGATAGTGCTGCGACTTGTGGAACTATTACGAGGCCTATATTTCTATTTCTGTCTCCTGGCCATACGTAAATACTCCAATATTACTCACTAATTATATTAGTAGCTACAACCATACTAATTTGCATGAAATCCAAATATTTGACCGTTCAAATTCTGTTGCTCAAGGCAACATGTTTTCTCATGTATTCTTCTTGTGATTTGCAAAAGTTAGAGTGGAAATAAATATGTAAAAAGTGTAGGCTTCGAAGAATTCCTTAATAAATTGATGCTTGAAGAGGCGAGTTGACGAAATTTGGAAGAGGGCCTCACCACTCCGATCAATCCTTGCTGAGCAGTCATGTGACGAACAACATGCTTTAGGATTGAAGAAGTCTCCCCCTGTTTTCGCAACTTGGCCATATTGGTAGGAAGACTGAGAGAAGCACACTTGGTGTGGTACATTCCCAGACGTTTCGCCGGCATCTTTAATGAGTCTGGCCATTCTTAGCACCACACTGCAAGTCGTCAAAGAGATAAGTGAAGCTGATCCTTTGACCAAATATCTACTAAACAGTTGTGGTAGCTCTTCTTCTGTCCTGGACTATTCACCTCTCCTATATCCTCGTATCACATCTTCACAATCACAATTTTTCCTTGCTTATTTTAATGTGGTATGGTGTGCTCTTTTGGGCGGCTCTCATGACAACTCTCCAAACTCCAACTGGCTTTCTCACCCCTCACCCCACTCGCCCACCTTCACCCTTGCGCTGGAATATTGATCAGAGTCTGACCTATTGTTGCGCAGTCCTCCTTCCCTAAGTCTTATCACAGTCTCCCTCTTGTCCCTTAGGATCCGTCTGCTATCTCCCTACTTTAAGTAGTTCCCTTTACCCCTACCCCCCCATACATTTGGTCAAAGGATCGGCTTCACTCGTATCTTTGATGAATTGTAGTGTGGTGCTAAGAATGGCTAGACTCACTGACGATGCCGGCGAAACGTCTGGGAATGTACCACATCCACGGTCGGACTCTAGAAATGGTCATACTAGATGCGTTCCTCTAAGTCTTCCTACCAATATGGCCAAGTTGGGAAAACAAGGTCAAACAACTTCTATGCTACGAGAGGAGACTTCGATCACACAAAAAGTCACACCATCTTGGTTTTCGTAACTTTGAAATTAATGATATTCCGACATGAGAGGTGGCGATATTATGACATGCTTTTCATTACTTTGGGAAAGGTGACTGAAGCGAATTCGTGAATTGGTCTTAATGGAAAACGAATTATAATTGCATTAGAGGATTGAAGACGAAAGGAATGTGCAAATAAGTCTTAGTTGCACCGCGTTGCGTACCCAATGAGCCCAAGTTAATCATACTTCTCTCACGCAGGTTATTGAGCTGAGGATTTTTTGCACTGTTTAGGGATAATTTTCCTTACTCTTTCGGCAAGAACAATTCACACCTTTATTGAGAATATCTTTTTTTTCAAGATGAAGCTTCATCTATCAATATCGCCATCGTGTTAACTCAACATCCAATTGGTGATTAGTTCACATTTTAGCTTTTCAAAAATAGTGTGAGGAATAAATGAACAATCAGGTGGACGAGATAACAGGAATTTCGCATTTCTTGTAAATGAGCATAATAAGACTTATTTTTAGTTTTGCTATACTCAAAGGGGTGTGTGTGCGTACATCTTCATCTGTAGGCATGCAATCTACGAGCAGATTGTCGATAGGGCAAACAAATATTTATTTTCATTTTAAGTGGGCTTTTGAGGCTATCAGTAGTGCTTGACTATGAACTGTGCTCACACTATTTCAGGTAAGGTGATGAAGGATTGAAGGTAGAATTTTCCCATAATCATGTGCGTAAGTCTCACGTTTTTAGTAAATGTCACATAGCCTTGATTCATCAAAAGTCATTCTCATCGCGACTGAACTACAATTGCGACTTTTCATGAATCGGTCTCATTAGCACCACCAACGGGACTCGAGCTAAGGTCATCCAGTAAGGGGAAGCAAATCAGTTGGAAGGGATTGAGCAAACTGGTCCTCGGCTCAAGGTCACGCAAATCCGGTGAATTCGTGTGATTGCCTATAAGCATTATTTGTAGTCAATTGGTAGGGTCTGATTAACGCAAATTGATCTACTTCTCGGGCCGGTTTCCTCTGTCGGGTTGGTCATGACAATTTACCGCGTCGGACAATGGATTTGGTGCATTGCCAAACGTTTCGCCGGCATCGTAGTCGGTATCGCCTGTGAGCCTTGTCAGACTTTTTCAAAGAAGTTACCACTCGTCAAAGCTGCCAGTCTGGGGACATTGTCATGACTACCATTGTAGAGGATGTGGACAAGGTGCTTTCATTGAGGTTGCCCAGACGACTCGACAAACTTGTGAAAACTAGGTCCAGAGCACTACCATATGTCAAAGGAGTGGTCACATCATTTTTGCCCTCAGATATGCAGTCAAACGCCCTTTTTAACGGTTTATCGTAATTGCGTGGTTTTTTTTGTAACGATGTAACGATGACGCAAGCTCAGCACATATTCATTGGGGTTGCAGTACTCCTATGCACACACTAAAAGTTTGGCTCCAGGATAATTCCTTTTTCGTTACGTTAGGGCCAATTCACATGTGCCTTTAAAATAAGTTTTTCTTCAAAATCAAATGTCGTATAGCTTCGACATATTGAGGAATATTTCGAAGCGCAAACCTCCTTTATATCGAAGTTTCTGTCTGATTTATTCTTCGTTTATAAGTAGGTTATCGAGACTACCAGTACATCATATACGTTAAGTTTATTCATCTTATTTCGTTCAAGTTGATAAAGGGGTAATAATTGATGTGAAATTTAATGGAAACGTAAGGCCTACTCATATGATTGTGGGAAATTTCAACTACCAGTCTCTCAATCAACTTATAAACTAACAATAAGTTATGTAGTCGCTTGCTATAGCGAATAGATCATTGTTTTGCGATATGGGAAAAATCTAGGCTTCCTTGAAGTTTACATTTGACCTGTGACCCAAGAGCACTCGGGAAGGTATGGCGTAATGGTTGACATGTCGAGATTATGCGATTCACTCTCATGGTTCGAGTCCCACTGGGGCTATTGATGAGACCAGTTCGGGCGAAGTAAAAATTGCTGTCAAATTCATTCCAGTCGGGATGAAAATGTCTTTTTATAAGCGAAACCATGCCTTAGAGACTACCAGTAGATCAGATATATAAGATATATTCACCCATTTACGTTTAGACTGATAAGGGGACTGACAGCTTAAGTTTCACACAATGCTATGAGTAGACATGACGTTTTCAGTGAATTTCGTATGGACTTGATTTCCCAAAAAGTAATCTCATCCAGATATGAGTGGGCTACAGTTCAGATCTCGCCTATGTCTTATCAGCAGTCATAGCGGGACTCGAACCATGACACTGCAGGGTACAATCTCGACACGAAATAGGATAAATACATCTCGAACATATGCCTACTTATAAATGAAAAATGTGCAATGTAGTCGATTACTATAGCAGATATAACTTTGCTTCATCGACAATCCCACCAGACAATATGATATGGGAAAATATCTGACCTTCCTTGCAATTTACATCTACCCCGTGACACTGGTAGCCACATTATACGCTGCTCTAGCGCAAGTCGGGTTCGAGTCCCGCAAGGGGTGCTGTGTGAACTGCAATGGAAACGTCATGTGTACTCGTATGATTGTGGGAAGTCGACTGCCAGTAGTCTCTTTATCACCACCGAACGAAATGGGATGAATACATCTCATATGTTCTATCGTCTGCCTGATGCCATTTGCGTGGTCTGGCTGGGTAACTGATGGACGGTTCGAATCCGAGGCTATTGCGCTTGATTGCGACCAATCGTGAATCGGATGCACTTTGAAGCAGCGACAGAAAGAGACGGTGCTTGCTCTGAACAACTCATTTGGATACGAAGACCCGACGAGTGTCCGACAGAGAGGACACTGCATTTATACCTGTCGCCATGGCAACAGCAACAAACAGTCGAAACTGTATGAAGAAGAGTTGAATTGTCTAGTTATGCAGGTGGAGGCATAGCAACTGTTGGGGGAAAACGAGAAGCTCAGTTTGTTGGCGTCGGGGAGAGTGGAAGATGAATTTTGGGTCGGTTCAAATGGGCATAATTTGAAGGCGGATCAGCAGAAAGTCAAGCGTAGGCCAGATCCGATTGTTGGGATTACTTCCATTTCGAGTAGAAGTGTTG